ACTTTGGAGAGGTCCCTAACAGCAGACTTTCCCATGGCAATGCGCCTTTTAATTTCCTGGCTGCTGGTGCCAAGACTGTTGACTATGGAGCCACGCAAACTAAACCTGTGTACAATCTCAATCTCTTCACCATCCATCCTGATGCTGCCAATTGGTCCAGTGGTGTATAAAATAAATCTCCATTGGACTCATCATCACTTAATCTTTTCAGGTCCCTGCCAGAGTCTTCCCATTTAATTCACCCCCTCTATCTACCCATGAAACTAGGCAACCCTGTGGTTTGACCTCTACCCATCCTCACCTCTCTGCTCCCACACCTTCTCTCCTTGGATCCCCCATACATGTTTTACTAGTTGTCCATATGAGACTGAGTTAGTTCACTTGGCATAATGCTCTCCCATCAGTTTTTTACAAAATTGTTGTTCCTATATAGTACTGGAAGTACTTCTACAGCAATATGAAAAGAAAAGGAAATAAACGGCATCCAGATTGGCAAAGAGGTTGTTAAACTGTTGCTATGTGCAGATGATATGATAGTGTACACAGAAAACCCCAAAGACTCAACCAAAAAAAAAATCTGTTAGAGCTAGTAGACAGATTTGTCAGTGTTTCTTCTTTTTTAGTGTAGGTGTTTTATCTATAAAGTGTCCTCTGAGTACTACATTTTCTATATCTAATAGGCTTTGGTATGTTGTTTTCATTTTCCTTAGATTTTAAGTACACTTTGATTTTTCTAACAATTCAAAAGTACTTACTGTCTTATTTCTCGTTTATGGTCTAAGTGACCTGCTGATCGCTCTTTCTTGACCAGAGCAGCTTCAAAACCTATGCTCTAAGGAAATACATGAGAGAAAAAAGTAATTTTATTTAATATGTAAATAATAGTTACATTATAAGTCATAGTGTTAAGAACAATTCAATTCAATTATCAAATGCACATAAGTCTGAAAGATACAAAGATGAATCTTGCTCTTATCTTTATGTCTAACTTTTGATCAAAGAACTTGATATTTTCTCAACTCAGTATCCATCCTACTTGTCACAAATTAACCATTTAACCAAAGTGTAGTGCTTCTCAGAAGGGATTATAATTGTATCAGAAAGTGAATACACGTTTAAGCAAAAACATCCAAACTATAACAGACTAGGATGAAAAGCTTAGTGAAAATTATCCAATGAAAGCCGGAGGATTATGACAGAATACTGCATGATATGTTGCTGGAAGGTGCATATGCTAAGCTGTATCATAGGTTTTGGTACAGTGTTTTAATTTTCTTTAGACTTTAAGCATATCTTTTTTATTTTACTAGCACTCCAAAAGTACTTTACTGTCTTCTTTCTCATTTTATGGTCTAACAATGGGCTCAAATATGCCAGTGATCACAAGGATAGAATATGATTAGGCAGTGTTTGTTTCATTGTGTTGTACATGGGGTCCCCAAGAGTCAGAACTGACTCATAAGCAACTAACAACAACATAACTCAATTTGAACTTGATAAGCCTACTTCAAGAAAACTTCACTACTATTAGTCATGCTAATAAAGTATTTCTCCAATGAAAGATTTTATATATTTTACTATATTTCCATGTGAAAAGAAACAGAAACTAAAAATCTAAGTGCAAAATAACTGAAATTCTATTTAAAACTACATTAAAAAACCTTTCTTTCAAACTTACATGGCAACAACATGTAAGCTAAAAATTAACAGAAATGTGATGAATGTATGTATAGTTGTTCAATTACTTTTCAGCGTAGTCAGAATATTTCTTAGAAGTAAGGATGATGGGCATGTTACCAGGAGGAGTCAGTCCCTACAGAACCAAATTATAACTGTTAAAGCAGTGAGTCAATTAATAAAACGTTGGGTTTCTGAGACTCTAAGTCTTTACCAGAGGAGACAACATCATACTCTTCCCTCAGAAATACAGACATACTGGTACATTCAAAACTAACATTGCAATTAGCAGCCCAGCATGTAACACACACCAACATGGGGGGGGGGGGTGCAAGCGCACGCATACACACATATAGTGTGACAAAGTTCAGTTCCAGGCTTGAAGGGTGAAAAGGGCCATGGTTTCAGGGTTTCACTAGTTTCTATCAGATTATTAGGCTTAGTAACAGTGATAGTGATTTTTGGATTTGCTCTCCAACAATAAGGGCTCTGCATTTGAAAAAAACAAAAAGAACCCACATCTACAGAAGAGTTCACAAACATTTTGTATTGTTGTTGTTGCTGTTGTTAGGGGCCATCAAGTCGAGTATGACTCAGTGATCCTATGAAAAAAAGATTTTAAACCAATCCTGTCCTGTGCCATCTTTACACATCCTGACACACAAGAGCCTATTGCAGCAGTCACCCGGTCAATCCACCTGGTTGAGGGTCTTTCTCTCCTTTACCGACCCTCCATCTTTCCCAACATCATGTCCTTCTCTAAGGAATAGCACCTCCTAAAAATATGTACAAAGTATGTGAGACGAAGCCTCATCGTTCTTGCCTTCAAAGAACACTCTGGCTGTACCCACTCTAAGACATCTATTTGTTTGCTTGGCCGTCCATTGAATGTTCAGTGCTCTTCTCCAACACCACAGCTCAAAGGCATCCACTCTTTTTCTATCATCCTTATTCATTGTCCAGGACTTGGATGCATAGCTAGTAATTGGAAAGACTGAATCAGACACACCTTAGTTTTCAAACTGACATCACTACTCTTCCATAATTTGGAAAGGTACTTAACTATAGATTTTCCAATTGCAATGCATCTCCTTATTTCCTGACTGATTGTACCAAAGATGTTAATTGTGGATCCAAGCAAGATGAGCTGTTGACAGTTTCAATCTCCTCTCCATCTATCATGACATGGCCTATTGGTCCAGTGGTAAGAATCTTTGTTTTCTTGATATTGAGACATAATCCATACTGAAGGCTGCATTCCTTGATCTTCTGCAACAAGTACTTCAAATCCTCCTCACTTTCAGTAAGCAAGGTTGTGTCATCTGCATAATGCACGTTATTGATGAGTCTCCTTCAAATCCTGATGCCACATTTCTCTTCACAGAGTCCATCGTCTCGGAAAATTTGCTCAGCATATAGATTGAACAGATATGGAGACAGAATACATCCCTGATGCACTCGCTTCTCAATTCCAAACCTTGCAGTGTTCCTCTGCTGTTCGCACAACCTCCTGGTCCACATATAGGTTCTACATGAGCAAAATCAAGTGTTCTGGGATTCCCATTCCTCTCAATGTCAGCCACAACTTGTCATGATGCCTTTGGATACTCGATAAAGCATAAATAGACAAACAGGCCATCTACTTTCTAAATAAAAGGCTTTTGAAAACACTATGAACACTAAACAGAGGATTTTTATACGGTAGTGCTAAAGCCCAGATTGCAAGTTAGTTGAAATGAGGAAAATAAATATCAAACATTGTGTAAAAATTGGCACATGTAATATTCGTAGCTTGAATGTTGAATGTTGGAAAACTGGATATTTTTAAAAATGAAATGGAATGCATGAATATTGACATACTAGGCATTAGTGTTCCAGTCATTTTTGGATAATCTTCAATAGAATCTGGCTTGCATGTGAAATCAATGAGATTGTTCTGTAGTTTCCAAACTCTGTTGGGTCACCCTTCTTTGGAATGGGAACAAATATAGATCTCTTCCAGTCAGTGGCCCAAGTGATTGTTCTCCAGATTTCTTGGCACAACTTGGTGAGCACATCCAGGGCAGCATCTGTTAGCTGAAATACGTCAATTGGTATACCATCTTTCCTGGGGCCTTATTTTTTGCTATTTCCTTCAAAGCAGCTTCAACTTCTTCATCACCATAGGCTCTTGCTCATATGTTATTCATTAAATTCTTCTGTATCTGCCAATTCCTTTCTATACAATGACTCGGTATATTCCATCCATCTTCTTTTAATACTTCTTGGATCATTTATTATTCTGCCCAAAGCATCCTTGATTATAGCAACTC